CCTGACCTTCAGACTGAACTGACAGAATTGAAAAAGCAGCTAAGAATTTTGGCCTCTTACAAAAACACACGTGGGATAATAGCAAACTATCATTTAAAGTAAAGATTCAAATTGATGAGACTTGTGTGCTGTCACCCCTGTTTCATGGTTCAGAAATGTGGACTGCATATGCTAGGCACATCAAGAGACTGAACAGCTTCCACCTGAGATACTTGTGTAAGATCCTGAAAATAAAGTGGGAAGACAAAGTAAAGTACAGAGGCACTGGAATGTATGGGCTTGACACACTTAAAAACCATTATCTAGAAGAGGAGGTTGCTGTTAAATTATAAAATGGGATTAAGGACTAGTGTATAAAGGATTGACATAACAACTTGTTCAATAAATGACAGAGAGGTTTTATTTACTACAACTATTCACTATTAAATGATCTTAAAGCAAAACAAAATCCAGTATATATAGTTGTAAAAGTGATAGTATCTCACCAACACAGGCAAAGAGGCGGTCTTAGTCTTGTTAGCTCAAGGCATGGATCTGTTGCCAGTGAGATCAGGTCAGCTGGGCTCAGTAGCATTTCTTGTGTTGAATGATTTCTCACTCTTGAAGTGCCCCCTGTTAGCTGCTTCATTCCTTTCTTATAACTTGCAGCTCAGCATCTTCAAAGCTTTCTTGTAGTTGTGTAAATAAAGAGAGAAACCCAAGCCATAACAAACAGGAAGATCCTGTTTTCTTAACTGTTCATTATTGATTATCAGAAAGTCCCAATTTTGATTGAATGACCTTCCCCAGTAACGGGAGGTTTATCAATCTGTACTGAGTTGCAACATATCAGGAAATTGATTAACAACTGGGAAAAATTCAACATTTTGAAGAGTTGTTCTTGGAAGATCAAGGGAACTACTGAGATGAAACAAGAGTTAATCAAGAGGAGATGCCTATCAAACTCCATATGGAGAATGTTCCTTCCGGCACATAAACCCAAGTTAATTGCAAAGAAATATTTACTATAGTAATGAATCCAGGATAGACATTTCACACAGTCACATATATGATAGGGGTGCACCGATAGAGATTTTTGCGTTGATTCTGATAGCCGATTTTTAAGGAGGCCTATCTGCCGATAGCGATCTAATTTCCAATACTAGCCAGGCAGCTTGGAGAGCTGCCTCCAGCTGGTAAGTCTAGGGGGTGGGGGAAGGGAAGGGGGGTGGGGCGGGCACGGGATGGAGCCGTAGCTTGTCTGGGGGGCTTGGGGAGGGTGG